ATTATCGACACGACGTAGTTGTGGACAACCGACTGCTACTAGTTAGTTCGCACGGCGCTCGTTGGCGCTACGAGCAACCGCCCCGCTTGCCCCCCGATCCCCGCGCCTATTCCGCGATTCAGTGACGCGTTGTGTACAAGAGATATATAATTCCCAGTATCAGTTATCTTCTCCTCCTTTTCGGCGTTTGAAGCGTTAATGTAGCGTGTGTGTGTGCTTTTGGAGGTGAAACTGATTTAGAGCCGAAGTTTTTCGACATGTCAGAATCCCGAAGAGATACAAGTAACGCAAATGCGCATTATTTATCTTTATCGTAATTTACACTCATTGTTTAATAACGTTTTTTTACTGTTCGCGATCTAAACGGGAATAGGTGGTAACCTTGACGAGAAATATATTGTGAAATTCAACACGTGGCTTGAATTCTCGATACCACTTTTCTTTTCTTATTTAAATTTATGACTATTTCGATGGGATTTGTAGCGATAAGAGATATATGTTTATGTCACGCGGCGAGAATAAAATTTTCGACCGTGATCTGTATCTTAGTTTACTTTAAATATTCATGATACTGTTGCTTAGACATGAAAGGCTGAAAGCATGTTGAAGATACAATAAACATTGTTATTATTAGGCCATATCGATTTAGTTACTTGTTTTGATACTTTCTTTTCAAATATAAATTCTTAGGTTCTGAATTAGATTCTGAAGGTTCATATAGAGAAACAAACAGGAGCAGACAAAGAAAACGTAAATGGGTGTATCCGTCTAAAAAATATAAAGGAGTATTTGTCCTCGTTCAAGACAACCAAGAAACATTAATAACCAAGAGTGTGGTACCTAGAATAGCTGCGTATGAAGGAGAAAAAAGAATCTATTTTCTGGTAATTACTGCCTTATGAGATTTTGATGATTTTGCTCTCTGTTTCTCATATTGCACGTGCACTCTTAAAATAGGATAAATACAAACGGGAAAGAATTGAGTACAGAATTTGGGATCCATTTAAATTTAAATTAGCTGCTGCTATTCGTAAAGACATTAACAATATTTATATAATGCCCAAAAGTAAAGTATTATACTTGGGTGCAGAATCGGGCACTGCTGTGTCTCATGTTGCAGATATAGTTGGTCTGGTAAGTAAACCACCAGAAACATAAAAGAATTTTAACTTGTGCACACATTAGAGCCAAATTGATTTACTATTGCCAATTTGGTGTCGAAGTGGTGCTAGAACAATTATACGCTTGTTTTTTCTATAGTGAGTAAGATTTGATTTTACTTTGAAAGGAAAACTTGCGTACAAAGTCCATACGTATGTATATATTATTAATACTAAACAAGTATATATTATATTTAGGAGTAAAATTCAATATCTCAACTGTTTTATGTACACAGGATGGAATTGTTTATGCAGTAGAATCTGTCCAGAAACATATGAAACAGTTGGTCGAAGTTGCTCAAAAAAGGAGTAATATTGTTCCTATACTTGAGGAAGCGTGGCATCCTTACAAGTACCGAATGCTTATAGGAATGGTAGATGTCATTGTCTCTGATATAGCACGACCGGATTACACTGAAATTGTTGCAAAAAATGCGCACAACTATCTTAAAAATGGGGGTCATTTTGTGATATTTATTAAAGTAAGATATACAGGGTGTTTCAGAACTATGGGATCAAACTTCTAGGGGTTATTCAGTGCAACAGTAGAAAACATTTGAGTATAGGGACCCATGTCCGGAAAAGTGTCACTACCGCACTACGGCCCTAAGACGCGTTAAAATTTAGAAAGACGATGAATTGCCTAAATAGGATTTAATGCATTTAATGTTTGCCTTTTGTACATGATATCATCACAACAATTGTTCAAAATGTCAAAAGGCAAAAATTAAATGCATTAAATCCTATTTAGGCAATTCATCGTCTTTCTAAATTTTAACGCGTCTTAGGGCCGTAGTGCGGTAGTGACACTTTTCCGGACATGGGTCCCTATACTCAAATGTTTTCTACTGTTGCACTGAATAACCCCTAGAAGTTTGATCCCATAGTTCTGAAACACCCTGTATATGTGTATATGATCCGCACACACAATGTTGTACGATGTGTACAAAAGTGAAAATCTGTGGGAATTGTTTATTGATTTTAGATGAGCATGGATCCGTCCGACAGATATAACGACGCGTGGAGAACAGCAAGACGTAACTTGGAGAATGAGAAACTGAGGATTGAAGAGTACAAGAAACTGGATGAGAAAAATAACTATATTATTGTTGGCGTTTTCGACGTTAATTTTAATCTTGAAATACGTATGAGACTCTAAGACTCAAGCAATACAAAAATCAAAACATTATTCTAGTCAACATTTTGATAATAAAGGAATGGTGGTATCAAAGGAAAGATCTTGCTAAGCAAAAATCAAAACATTGTTCTAGTCAACATATCATGTTCGAATATCTTGTTTTGCTGGTCTGTTGTATAATCTTATTCACATATTTATTTTCATTTTCAATTCTGATGATCAGCTAGGTAAAATGTGCAACAAGATATCAATAACAAAAAACACTGTGATTCTAAAGTTGAGATTACTGTGATATTTATAACTTGCTAAAAACTTTTTATTTTATAATTTTGTGTGTAATTTTAAGGTACATGTTTCTGAATGTCTGTACGCGTATATACCGATATAAAATTCTATACATATATTTTCATATCTTCCAAATTTCATATCTTTCAAGTTCTATTCCAAATTCTCACATTAGCTCATATAAAATAGATTTTATACATTATGAATGTTACAACGAATAATATACAGACATATTTTTATATTTTTTTATATACATATATAACACGAATTCTATTGTACATATCGCACTTTTTATATTCCAACTATTTTGTAACTTATAAATTTAAGACGATAGATTAATATATATATATATATTTTTTTGTAAGAGATATTTTATAATCAAGAATTTTGTTAAAAAATGTGAAGCGATAATTGTATTTTATAGATTGTTACGCACTTGTCACGCGAACTAATGAAATAAACACACAGTTAAATACAATGAATCATGATTTTATTTGTTATATAATAATATCTACAATAAAAATACCATATCGTTTGAAAAACAATTTTCGTTACAATTATACAGTAATTTTTTATATAATAATATAATATTTAGTTTTTTTCGTTCCAAATAAGATGTAGCGATGAACATACACCTCGCGCAGTGGGAGTGAGAAAATACATTTTGTTTTTTGTTGCAAATTTTGCATTGTGGTTTCTTCACTCAGTATATGAATAGTTTTTCTTCTTCCTTCGAGTGTGTCAATCTTCCAGGCGAACACCCGAGACGACGCCGATAGAGGCGTGATTTGCGTCACATTGTTTTCTATATTCCCACTTTGTTTTTGTTTTTTTTTTTTTTTTTACAATATTTGTATTATATTTCTCCGTATAGCGTTTGTATATTATATTTTGAGAAAAACAAGTCAGAGAAGAGATACGGTGCCGTCTCGAGTGTCTCGCGTTGTTATGTAGTTTTTTTTTATTTCGTACCTCGCGCACGTGTGAGAAACTCTCTTTTGTTTTCTTAGTGTGTGCGGAGTGTGTTGTAGAAAATGTTGCATCGGGGAACGATCCAACTTTTCACCGAGACGTCGAGCTCTCTCTTTTGCGCGCAGATATATAATATCTCCGCCTATTCTCTAAAATTAACTACACTTAATACTTAATAGTAATGTTATTTCAATATATATATATATATATATATATCGTCGTATTAGTTTATCATAATATATAGAAAATACATATAACAATTATTTTTTAAATGACTCACAATCAATCATTTGACACATAACGCGCGTATACGACAAGCGCGCACGCTTGTGCGCGTATACGCGCCTATGTGTATATATTTCTATATATATATATATTTATCAGTGTGTTAATTACATGATATTTTTACACTCGTCGTACAGAGGGAGAAAAAGGATGGCGCGGAGGCGCGAAATGGTACGGGAACAGGAAGAAGGACGGGGTGAAAAAAGACATCTTTCACACATTTACATTTTACCTCTTTGCAGTACTGTTTAGTTTAAAGGGAAATTCGGAACCTAGTCGATATCTTACAGTTTGTCTATCTTGTACTGTAGTATCCTTGTATCTAGCGAACATGTCTCGTTATCCTGTGTTCTGGCAGGCGTCTCGCCTTGCCGTTCGTATCGTCTGCCTTTCGTTTAAATTGATTTTCTGTTTACTTCTCCGCTGTTTTTTTTTGTTTTTGTTTTTATTTGCCTGACTCATTCGTTGAACTCGATAATACACATATTTGACGCATCATTCGCGTATTTTCTATACGTATATTCTGTGCTCTACTTTGATTGTTACGTTACAAAAACAGATAATATAGACGATTTCTCTATCTCTTTCTTTTCTCACGTTCTTAACACTATTTTTTTGAAGGAGAAAATGTCACAAATGTGTGTACAAAACGAGAAATATTCAGAAATGCTAGAATATTCGCGACCGAATTTTTTCTTTTGTTTTTTTAATTACCACTATAATGTTTTCTGGATTTTTCTTATTTGGTGACGTATAGGATTGAACTCAGGGTCGCTTTTGTATCTTGTAACTTATCACATTTCTCATCCAAAACCTTAAACATTTAAAAAATAGTTTGACACTAAAAAATAGTTTCTTTTTTACGGAAAATTTTCAGTTCTTTTACATATAGCATGTTATACATTTCTTAAACTAAATAATGTGAGTATATATATATATTTTTTTTAACAATTTGATTTAAGAAATTGCAATGTATTAAAGAACTTGTTTTTATGCAAAATCAATAAAAAATATATAGTTTCTTACTATTCTTGGTTTTTGATTTTTCTTTGATTATGATTTTTATAATGATTTTTATAATCGTTAAAAGACAACTCTAAAAGAAAAACCGTAATAATAATTATATCCTCAAAAAAAAAACACATTGTCAAATGACACTAAAAAGATTTTTCATATAGATCGCACAGATTGCTGTCTCATCGAAGTCGCAGATTGTCAAGTTTTGCACAACACACGTCGACGATTATCTCTGTCCTGATCGCGAGCGCAGCGAGATTTTCCGCGTTTGCTCGAGGTTTTCCGAAAGTTATTTTTTTCGCTTGTTTGCGATAATAAATAACGAGAAAGGCTTCGCTCACGTCCCGACTTTCCTTCTAGTCGCGAACAACAAGCTAAGCATATCTAAACTCGTCTATAGCTCCTAACGAGATGAGAGGGGATGTACAAAGTTCCTAAAACTCCCTATTTAAAACGCTCCAAAAGATTGTTTTGCATGTTTTTTNNTTTTTTNNTTTTTTTTTTTTTTTTTTTTTTTTTTTTTTTNTNNTTTTTCACTATATTGAGCGGAGAAATATTGCTATGTGGTTGTCGAGAAGAATCATGTCGTTATGATATGTCAAACGTCCGCACATCTCGCCCTTTTCTAATTTTTTTTTCTTCGCGTGTTCGCTCTATCCAATCTCTCGTTTTCTCTCGCTCACGCACGTATTCGCGCAGCGCGATTTTTTTCTTTAGCATTTCCCCCCTTTCTTTCAGCATTTTCCACTCGCGTCGTTTTTTTTCTCCTTTTTTCGAAGAGAGAACGACGAGCGTAAAAAGAGCCACGTCGAAAGAGAAACAAGTGTAATATAAATACAATGATATCTAAGAAGAAAGCTCTCCTCTCTCTATAGGACGTATTTCGTAGTGCGTATATAGCCAATATAGAAGGAAGAAAGGAGGAAAAGGTTTTACCTTTACATTTGTATGTACATACACGCACGTCGAGCGAAGTCGGGATTATAAAAGTAAACGACACCGAGGACAACGATACACCGATCGATCTGTACATGTTGCGAGAGACGCTCTTGACATACACAAAAATATGCGCGCGAACACCTTTGACAATTATAGTATATACATTTATATTATATGTACATCTTGCAGCGGAAGAGAGAAAGAGAGAGAGAGGGGCGAGGGGAGGGAAGGGGGTGGAGAAAAGAGTGATATTTAAAAGCAGAAAGAGAAAATTCGCGTATCTCTTCAGAAAAATATTCATTAAAGTCGGATGCGATTTAAAAGATATAAACATCTCTTCAGGTATCGTCCTATGTGTGTAGCTGGCGCCAACTTTATCTTTGAAACAGAATATTGCGGACACGCTCACGAGCGGGACATTATTCTTCTCTTGATCATCTCCATTTCTTTATTCGGAGCTCTAGCCGTGACTCTTGCACCTCTTCAGTTCGATACACTCATTATTATTGATTAGCAGTAATTAACACATGAAAGTGCGCGGAAGAAAGTTCGACCTCGCGCTTCCTTCTTCGAAGGGGGGCCACCTTGAGAGTCTATTATCGAATGCGGTTGATTCAATTTTGTTCATTAACAAGAATAGCACTTTTAACCACGTTTTATTGTTAATAAACAATATCTTTCATATTCAGGTATATTCGTGGGATTACAAGTAACGCGAATACATTGCAGCACGCAAACGCATTTTTTTTTTGTTTTTTTTTTGTTTCTTTTTATTATAGGATTGTGTGAAAGAGTTGCGAAGGATAAGTCGTAACAAACTCGCGACACATCTCGCCAAGGGATTAATTCCTCGAACGTCGTCGGTTTGATTGTCAAGAATGATTTCAACAGATCATCACGAGAACGACTCTCGAGGATAGCCACGATGAGTATTTAGTTTTTTTCGCACGCAGTTACTCGATTATATTAATCAATACTAGAAGAGTGAAGGATCAGGGAGATAAGTTTTTTTTTTATCTCCGCATAACACGAGTATATACGACGCATATAAAATCCGTGATTTTTTTATATATATTTTATTGCATATACACGTTCGCTGCTACGGGCCGCGCGAGATACCTCTCTTTCTCTCTCTCTCTCTCTCTCTCTCTTTCCTTCTCGCTTAAGAAATATTAAAATTAAAAAAAAGGTCGGTAACTGAGTTATCTTTGTTCTTGTCGCATATTCGATTCAGAATTTTGTCGTGTTGCGCGATTGCTGTACGGGATAGTTGAAAGCGCGGAAAGATCTAAAGAAATTATTTTCGGAGTAAGCGCGATGGAAGGAGGGAGGAGGGACATTTTCCATTTTTTACGGAGAATAAGATAAATTTCTTTTTTTTTTTTACCATTCCGATCGCCGGGTTTGTGAGCAGAGCAGATTTTTTGATTCTCGCAATTTGATCAACATTTTAAATGTTTTGCGCCGCTTTAATCCGGTTCTCGCTGCCTCAAGAGTTTTGATTGAGTGAAGTTTGATTACAATTTGGCACAGTGATTATTGTTGAGCGTCTTACTCGCGCTCGTGCGAGGACAATCGTATCAGTACGATCGAGGGAAGTGTGGATCTTCTTCACGATTCATTCTCTCTCTCTTTCTTTCTCTCTCTCTCTCTTTCTGATCCAGTCTCGTAATGTTTTAACGTGAAGATATAGCATAATTAAGAGGAGAGATATTGACTTGCTTGTGATGTGTGACGCGATATTTGATTTTTCGTTTGATTGTTCGACACAAACGAGTAATAGTATGTACGTATTAATGTTGATTTCTCGTGAGAAAGCATGTCCCTTGCTTTATATAGCTTTTATTTCACGAAACACCTTTCCGCGTGAATCTCAATCAATGCTCGTATAACTGAAACTCTTGTTACAGCACCGATTGCATAGGAGATCATTTAGGAAGAAGAGATATAGTATAATCGTTACCAATATAAGAGCAACACAGAAACGAGCGAGATGTGAATATCAGCGTGAATTCGGGAATTCGAACGGAAATAACGAGATTAATTTTGTTTTTTTAAATAAATACTCTCGTAATGAAAAAGAAAGATTCCGCGATTATATTTCGCGAAGTT